CTTCTCTATGTTATGCTGTATTTGGTGAAATCTTATGAAGATTTCTTTCTTTCATTCTTGCTGTGTTTCTGTAAAATTTTCTGATTGATGATTATAATTTTTGCAGAGGATGCTGTCTGTAAATCTATTCGAAATTCTTTTTATTTCATCAATTTTCTTTAATCAACCTTCAAAAATATTTAGGAGAAAATAATTTTTTGCTTGTCTCATCTTAATGCTGATCTGGGTTCCTCTGTTTTAAAATTATCCTATAATACATTACAATTTTTGTCTTACGGAAAATATGACATTCTTATTTAATCTCCCACCTAATTTTGTCTATGTTGACCTCGATCTAATGTTGAACTGGTCATTTACTTACTACTATTTTCGTCTGGAATTGATTATCTCATAGTTGCATCACCGTGAATACTAGTTTCCTCTGCTAACATTGTGCCTTGAAGACTATCTTCCTCTGCTAACATTGTGCCTTGAAGATTATCTTCCTCTGCTAACTTTATGCCTAGAAGACTATCTTTCTCTGCTAACTTTGTGCCTTGAAGCTAACTTTGTGCCTTGAAGCTAGCTTTGCGCCTTGAAGACTAGCTTCCTTTGCTAACTTTGAGCCTTGAGGACTATAGCTTCCACTGCTAACTTTGAGCCCTGAAGGATAACTTCCTCTGCTAACTTTCAGCTCTGAAGGATAAATTAACTTCCTCTGCTAACTTTCAGCTCTGAAAGATAACGTCCTCTGCTAGTTTTCAGCTCTGAGGGATAACTTACTAAATCCATCAATATGGAACAATGATCCAGTCATCCACGAACATTTTTCCCAGAGTAAATCCCAGCAAATTGAGAATAGGTTTCAGAGAAAATAACAAGGCAAGAAGACGGGAGCTTAAACACCTATAGATGTAACTTTCCTGGAGAGAAGGAATGAAGGAACTATGACGAGAAAGCGCCAAGTCATTACGACTCTATAGCACTTGGAAGGGGTCAGGATAAGGATTAGGAATGGGACGGTGGGAAGGAATGATGTCCAACCACTTTGAACGGTTGGGGATTAAACGCCAACTTACAGGAAGCAAGACCGTTGCTCTACCGTCCAGCCCAAGTGGACGGAAAGAATGATAGGTAAGTAGGAAGGTGCCCACTTCGACAGTGTCCCCGGCGGCCTGCAGGTAGCAGCACCCTCACGCCGGCCGTTGGTCCCCAGCCTCCACTCCCGCCACAGTCTACCTGACTGGTGATCGAGCTGGTTCCTGGTCAGAGTGTTTACGTCCTTAAAACATCTATAGGCTTCGTTCTTCTGTTGGCTCGTGTTGTGTTCATACCTGGGAAGTTAATGCGAATATTTGGGACGTTTGTTATGCGTGTATTAACAGTGGTTTTGGACATGGTGATCTTTGCTCCTGGCTTCGTAAACAGCCTGGTGTGAGGACGGGTTGGGTCTAGAGGTTCGTTCAGTGTTGCGGTTCGTTGTGTGCTTCAGCAACGGGTTCCTTCTTTTGATGCAGATTTTCACTATATGGTATACATTACTCGTGACTAGAGGCTTGCATCCTTATGAACAATGGTCAGATCCCTATTAATCCAGCCGCCAAACCTTGTTTATGAATGAAAAACGCTTTACATGTAACTGATTATGCTCGAACAGCGCTTTCGCTCTGTGTTCGAATTGTACCCAACTTTATCAACAAAGGCCAGTCAGGCTTCACGTGCTGCACACACAAATAAATAACGGGCGCATCCGATCCCACGATCGTCGTCGCCCCTAAATCAACACAACAAATAAATAACTGCCTACAGAGCCAAAACACGTTAACCTAACTATACACAATTATAATTAATTTACTTTAGAGAAAATATTATGTTTAGTTACAAAGAGTGCACTGGCTGCATGGGTTAGCTGCCTCTTAACTAAATAAAAGGCCGTAGTGCTCAAGTGTAAGTCTAATATTGACTTATTAAAATCTACTCGTCACTATTTGACATACAGCTAAAAATTGAGAAAACTTGATGTATGTTTGTAGCCAGGGAGGGTAAAGGTGGTTAGCTCTTACCCCTATTATTCAGCCCAGTTAGTTTAGTTCATTTATTATGCACCCCATACCCATCCTATGGGCAATAGTGGAAAGGGTTACAGAGGCACATAATGGGCTCAGGGACTGAACCCCACAATTTATTTAGCTAAGCAAGTTACAATCTTGATGAGTTAGTTACAGAATTCAATACACATCGCCACATCATCATTGGGTTCGAGATCCACCACAAGTACAGTTTCAAAATTAAGCAATATGCCTGTTTTGTTAGTACAGTATTTACAGTAATGATGAGGACCATCATACATATCCAGACGTACAACACAATTAGAAAATAGAAATCGGTACTATTGAATTTGGACAAACTGGAAAAGATTTTATATTTATGTTATAAAGACAAATTAACCTAACCTAACCTCCTTAGGCCTAATAGGGGTCGTATTCCAGGGAACATAGGATTTAGGACTTGTCCGAAATGCTACTCGTGTTAGTGGCTGTACGAGAATAAGAATACTAGGCCTAGGAATATTTAAAGTTTGTTTTTTTAGCTTCTTTCTTTCCAGACTCTATAAAGTGAATAGTACAAAGTTCTTCTATCTAATTCCTTAAAATGGCAATCTTTGTGCTATGGTGTGCATAGTTACAAAAAATACTGTCAAAACAAGAGGCAGGGTTGTATTATTTAAAATTTAAGTAATGTTGTTGCTCTGGTGACTATAAGACCATTGTACAACCCACCGGCTTCATGTCCTCATCGAGGCCACTAGTGTTAATGGCTCTCAGGTAAACAAACTACTGTACTGTACTATCTACACAGTTGACTAACTTCTGGATAATCATTTACTGCTAGATGTACAGAGGTATTAAATGAAATGAAACATGCTCAACCATTTCTGTCCTGCCCGGAAATCGAACCCGGGCTCCTCAATGTGAGTTGAGAATAAAGCCAACAATACAAGACCCTTTAGTTGCCCGAAACACTGTGCAATTAATGGCTTTAGGATTGTATGTACAGTACTAGCTCTTTCTAGAAATCCAACATTATGTTTGTAACTCGTTTAATGTTTACACTTTTACCTGAATAAACATTTGATTTGACTTTAGACCTGAACAAATAAATTATTATTGTATAGTACAATAACAAGAAAACTGAGCAAATATTACTCAAGCGACCTTGTTTAGTCTCTAAAAAAAAAATTGGCTTTGCATCATTTCCTCTTGGGCATCTTGATGCTGGTTAGGGAGTGCCATCCTTCCTTACTGTAGCTGGTATTCTTTATCACTTATGCTTTTATTAATGTTTTGTTAATTTGCTCTCTCTTATTGCAATTCTGATTGATATCTGTGTAGGAAGTCTTTCCTGTTCTGTGATGCAAATGATGCTATATAACCATTCTGGCTTTGCTTTATCTTTGGATAATTAGTTAACTATTTCAGGTTTTGTCTCGGAGCCAAAGTTATATTGTCTGTGGTTTATCATCTTTTGGGTTTGTCATCTAATGGGTTCATGGACTGGGTTTATCTTCTTTTTGGAGTTTGAAGGCTGGTTTTGTCTTCCTCTCATTGTCTTGAATTTGTTAATTGTCTGATATTTTGTAAATTGATGTTGGTCACTATTTATAACCTGCAGGCTGAGGCATTGGAAGCTCTCACTGGCATAGCTGAAAAGGATTAGATTTTGAAATGTTGCTGAAATACAGCATTTCACACTTACCGTTTGAAATAAATGCTTATTTATTTACTACAGTACTTTATTTGAAAAGTTGAACCACACCTTGAAATTTATTAATTAGTTTAAATTTCAAAGTAAAAAATATAATTCAAAACCTTCTGCACAAAAAATATTAGATTAAATATTCTGATCCTTTTCTGTTAAGTTTTGTGTGACTCCACTGTATTCTGTTGCCTTCCTTGACTTTCCCTTTCCTTAACCTCCTTTATCACCCATTTTAGCAGTTACTATATACTTACTGTACTAGTATTGCCTTTATTAACCTTTTAGTCTAGCCTCATTATTTAGTCCATATTTCTTTAGCAATCTTAATAATTCCAATTACTTTTTCTTGTGCAGTACAACTTATCTACTGTACAGTGTTTTTAAGTTTAGTACACAGAGAAATCACATTAACGTGATATATAAATGAGCAGAGCCACAGAAGCCGCGATGAGGGAATTCGAACCTGT